TGATGATCAACCAGAAGAAATTACATTGCTTTGCGATTGTTATTTAAATTATCGCTCACTTGGATTATTTGTTTGATGAAAAGGGTTTTGGTCATTATAGAGACTTTTTATTTTTCGTACAATAATTTTGATTATCAAAGTATTATATTAGTAGAGTAATACAATTTTAATTTAAATTCGGTATCATCACTCAAGTTAAGGGTTTACCAATTTTGAAAATATGTATGTTTGGTTAAAAGATCTAAACTTCGAAAATTCCTAAAATTTATATTACAGAAGACACTGAGATTGCACTACAATTTTATATTAAAATTTGAAGAATTAACACTGCCCTTTAAATTTTACAAACTTCAATATACATAAACCGTTAAATGTATACATATATTCCTAGATACTGCAATATTTCAAATCACTAAACACAAAATGATTGAAATTTAAATGCGTTTATGTTGTATCCTATGGCGATGTGTTATTGATAAATTGTTCTCCTATGATCCTCTTACCGCAATTGTCGCACAATCCACCGTTAGCGAGAGGATTGGCGGCGCACATTGGTACCCAACAAACACTTATAATAACAATAATTGCACTTCCGAACACCACTGCGGCGAAGTCACTCGATTTCATTTTTGTTTCGCACTTTTTTCCCTAACTTTGAAAAAACTATGCGGTCCCTAACTCTATGAACTGAGATGTTCTAATAAGGTTCACGAGACCAAATAATTGGAGCGCAAGAACTAATGATTTGATCTACGGTCAACCTGCGTTTTATATACTGACAAAATAAGTATATTTTTAAATACGATGACAATGTTTATAACGCAGACATCTCCGAAGAGGTAGGGGTAACCTTGCAGTGCATAAATGATTTTTTATTGCGGCGTTACTTTTTTTGTTGTTTGAACAAATAAATAATATAAATTATTGATTTCGTGTCACAGACGATCCGACCTTGTGCTACATAGATAACTGTTTTAAAACAATTACTTAGTGTCACGATTACCTTACAAAATGCTATGCATGTTATTGTTGTCAAACAGTTAGCGCGCCGGGCCAAAATTGTTTGATCTTGGCGGTGTTCTTTCTTGAGACCTTGACCAATAGTTACGTCGCTCAAGGTCATGCCGATAATTTAATTCGTGTAGAGAATATTATCTAATTGTACAAACAATTACGTGAAATCAGTTCGAAAACTATACAACGAATTACGAACCTATTTTTAGGTTACATCGTATCACGCACGTGGTGCACTAAGAAATTTCGTAACGTCTAAGATTTGTACTTTTCTCACTAAATAGGAACAACGGAAAATTTCAATGTATATAATCAAAGTTCTTTTTTACCGTTATCTTAAATGTGATAGCTAGTTTTGACTGTGCTTGAATTACCTATAAACTAATACTAGCCTATTTAGCAATATTTATGTAACACATGGTATTATGCATTCGAATAGGATTTTGCAATGAAGCAGACAGTGCAATATTTTTATTTATTGCCATATAGATATAAGTCAACTAATTGCCAGTATGTGGGGCAGTCGCGAAATATATCTTTGATAATTAGAACCTGAATTTTGAATGATTATCTTTATTTGTGTACATTAAGATTATAAAATACTATGGATTGTAGTACCGGTTGCAATTTCATAGTAAATATTATTATACCAGCTAAATAGATCAATAACAAACAGTATGTGCAATATTTTGTTCGAATTTAGGTTGATTGGGGGCTCGACTGGCGGTTCTTTCTTTGCTCATTGGTAAAGACATACATATCGCTTAACGTATTTATAAAAATGTGCAAATGAATGGCATATTGATAATAATTAACACACTTAATTATTACAACTTTGATTCAATGTATCATTGTCATCATTGACCATTTACTCCATTTTTGGACATTGAATAATTGAAGTTATTTTCTGTTAATTATAAAAAAAAATTCTTTGATTTAAAATAGAAACAGTAAGCATATTTTTTGTTTGATATTGAGTATGTAGTATCATAGTGGCAAATAAAAGATAGAGAAATAAAAAAGATTAATGAACGTGGGAAGTTTTTTTATTATAAGCGGACACCACGTGCAAGACAACTCTGACACACATTCGTAAAATTTATTCTGGCAAATTACTTTCCAACAAAGGTAACAAGAATCTATACACTCTTTCTTCTCTCCAGTCCCTAAACATAAATTTCTGCAAATACTAGATTTAAAAAACTTGAGAATCCTATCGAAGAGAGGAGGCGATACACAGTCCAAATAACATCATGACAAATGATCGGCTTGAAAGGAATTTGATTGAAAAATGAATTGACCAACGGTGCAATAAATAATTAATAGGGGAAAGTCCCCAAGCGGCGGGCACCTAAGGTTATTTATAAATAAATAAAAAAATATTTTACGAAATGTTTATTAAATTATGATTTATGTTGGATAACAACGTTAGAATTCAAACCAAATTAACAAAACCGAAATCTTTGCTAAAAAATAATTAATACTATCAATCAAACTTTGGTATAAAAAAATATGATTTTAAACAGTGGCATCTAGTACCGGACATTTCAAAATAACCTGCATTGATCACATATGCAGCCATCTCCACGTTCTGAAATGTCTGCATATGTGTCTTTGACGATATTCTTAGATATTGCAAAAAAAAGTCACTTTGGCTAGGCCACACCGATTCTCTCAGCTGGTGCATTCATAAGTTTTTCATTCTTTGACTAGGAAATACGAAAAATGTGGGTATGTAGTGACCGTTAGCACTCATACAGAATAACATTAAATAATTGGAATAAATTACGTAAATTCTCACAAGAAATATCAATATGTTTACTGTCCGGTGCTAAGGGACAGACATTTTCATTCATTTGATGGCACCTACTAAAATTGGTTAAAAGATCTAATGATATTCTGCCATTTTACGGATAACAATCAAGTACAACTTTTATCTTTGCATACCACTGAAATGTAAATGCATAAATATGCTAGAATTACTTCATTGATATTTAGGTGACGCCGTGATATTGCTCCTAAAACAGAAAAGGGTTGCTCTCGCCATGGCCGTGTGCGTCACAGGTGAGGCTTGGTGCGTGATCCTGTACCTGTGTGCCCTCAGTACCCCTTTTACTTGTATTTTGGAATGAAAAGGTTTATAATCGCTTAAATAATACGTGTTAAATAGAGTGTCCGGTCTTTGGCGCCGTCCGGCGTTACGGGACTTCCCCCTTCTTTGATATTACTATCTACCATATATTACAACGTGTGTCTAATAGTATCGACTTGTCTGTGATGCAGCAATGCCCACGATAGGCTACTTTCACTTGAAATTATATTTGAGACCTGTAACCTAAAGTGGAAATTTGGTATCATACTGCTTGATATCGAGCGTGCCCGAGGTTGGAATAGAACCACGGATTAGTGGTACGCTACGGTTGACTTTATGAATATGAACTTTCTTTCAAACACATGAAAATCTTCGAAAAATACATTGTATAAACTATATAGCTTTAATATATGAATAGGCATTTTAATAAAATAAGCATTTTATTTACATTAGTTTTTGGCTTCAATCTCTTTTTTTTTTTTAAATTTCAATCCTACGGTGAACAATAAAGATTCAGAATTGCATCAGAAAATAAACGATTGAACATGACGGATTTCCGTATTAAAATTTTTTTTAAATATTTATTTTTAAACACCGATCAGAACTTAAGTTTTCTATAACTTTTACCCAGATTATTCTAAACTAAGTGGATTTTTCAGAAAACAACTCAACGGTTGGCCTATCTCTATTAGGTGTATTTTATTATTAGAATTTCTCTAATTATAATGAGTTTTAATTTGATGCAGCTCTGCTGGGTAAGGGTTACTTTTATTTCAAAACATATTGCAATCTATATTCATTCAAGTGATGAATTCTAAAAAAAATACTACATTTTTCCAATTTAAGTAACGGCAAAAGATTTATATTAAATATGATATTTGTACTACCAAGAAATTTTTGTAAGATTTTAAAGAATATTAGTGAATGAATTAATTAAATTTGAGATAGATTTTCAATATATGTACTTCTATTCTTATAATCATCACTTCAATGTTTTCAAGATTAACATAATTTATTCTTGCGAACGCAAATGTAACCTTATTCTAATTTCTTTGTCGGCATTTATTTGTTTGTAGTTTAGCTGCATTTTAGCTTCAACCTCGCATTATTTATATCAGTTAATTGAATATAAATTCATAATTAGAGATGTATTGTGTATTTTTCTTGCTTCAATATGGGGCCATGGACATGCTCACTATATTTATTCTCTAGATATGTAAGCGTTATGCTGGTAGTAATTAGTGAAAACAGTTCAAGAGGCTTTTCGTGAATATGACTCGTTCTTTGTTTAATTCCAGTAAGGTCGCCAAAGGCCATTCAGTTATTAAAGTTTATTGTTCGTCCTTATCGATATTCAGAAACAAATTGTTCGCGCTCGTTTGTATTGTCTTAAAAAATATGTGTCCCCCAATTTTTAATACGTGTTTTAAATTAAAACTCCGCATCAACGCACCAAAGAAGTTCCGATTGTGTATAAACCCATAAAAAGCAATAAACTAATTAACTACATAAAGATTTAAAACACCCTTGTTAAATAAACTCATTACATTTTAAGCTAAACAATTCAATTAAAACTATTGATAAATAATGTGAATTTATTAAACAAATAATTTGTTAAAAAGGCAAGGAAAACAAATGGATTAAATGTGAAACGAAATTTAATTTTTATATAATTTGTTATGAAGTTAATAATTTAAATAATTCAAATAATTATTCATTCAAATTAAATAATAATAATTTAAGCCATAATTGATAATTTAGATTTATATGAAAAAACTATCAGAAATATAATATAATCAATTTATATTTTATATATTATATAATTAACTATTGAAAATGTCTTAAAAATAAAAATCAATATAAATTTATATATAAATATATATTTCTTCGTTCTTCAGATTATATAAATTTCACATACATTAATATTCGATCTCATAATTTATCATATTCAATTAATTTAGTAATTTAAATAAATATTTATAAAAATTATTCATAGCTCGTCATCATAAGAATTCCTCGCTCAGCTGATGTTTAGCATATTTAATATTATATGTTATTCATTTATGAGCAAAGTCAAATTTCATCGTCAGATCATTTGTTTGCCCGTATCGCAAATCACATCGTAAGCCAATATATGGACCAATCCCAGATATAAATGTAAGTAGTAGATTACCACTGAAAGTCATATCAATTAGAAAACAGTTTTTACAAGGTAAATTAGTAATGTTAAGTGATCAACTTACTGTTTTGAACACAAAGAATTAATAGTCCAGTCATTTAAGCTTAAAATAGGTAAGAATCTTGGAATTCGAGATACCCAACTGTAAGTCTGTAAATACTTGCATATTGACACCCTAAAGTTGCCTCAAAACCTACATATGGTAGGGTGTATGCAACATATGTAGGTTTTGAGACAACTTTAGGGTGTCAATATACAAGTATTTATAGACTTACAGCTGGGTATCATAGACTACATCTTTTCAACAGCACTAATAAAATAATAATTCTTTAATTTAATAGAACGCAATGTTTGTTTAATTAATATTTAGATGTAGTCTAAAACAAAGCGACAAATAAAACATGGTAATATTGACAATAAATTATAAAACATAATGTTCAAATCTCGAAGTATATTTTGAAGTAGGGTAGGGCGGGGCTAGTTGAGCAAATTTTTACTTAAACGGATGTAGCACCTCAATGAAAAGTCTCAATAAATTGCTATATGACTTAATGGATTTGTTGTTTATCGCTTAACAAAAGTGTTAATACTATTTTTTGGTAATAAGTAAAATTTAAAAGCTGCAGCTGTTTAAATGCAAAAAGTCAAGTATGCTCAATGTACCCCATAGGTGAGGCAAGTTGAGCACTAAGAAAGTATAATAAAATCATAGGTTCAATGTCGATTAGTAATGAAATAAAATAAGTTTTTAATAACCAGTGGACAGAGAAAACAAAACTTATATTAATTTGCTTTGAATAATTAACAAAAAGTAGAATCAACAGAACAATATCGTAGCTTAGGAATTATTTTACCATCATATTCAGTATTTTTGTTTAAAATCATTATTTCTTTATATTATTACTCATAGACTTAGTTTAAATCTTAAAAAAAATAATTAATTTCTGGAAGTTAATGGTAATTATCTTAGTGACAGAACAAGTTTAGCAACTATGCTCAACTAACCCCAACTCGGAATTTCAAAATAAAAGTGAGTTTATAAAAAAACCGTGAGAATTATAGCCAGAATCTATGTGCATATTAAAAGTACTATAATTATATGGAAGAATAAAATTTACCTGGTTAAAAATAAATAACATTTGACTAAACTAGACGAAAACTCGTGATGAATGACTTTTTTACTTTTTGGTCTCAAAATAAACAAAACGCCCGTGAGCCTAACTCATTTGTCCAGCGGCCACTAGCGATCGCGGGATGTTTATTTCTCCCAAACCTCTATCTTTCCGCCATATAATGCCTAAACGGACGGTGAATAGTTTTAGAGATATTTCGATTGCTCAACTTGCCAATATGCTCAACTAGCCCGCTCTACCCTAATTATTAATCAAGATAAACTGAAATTGAAGTTCAACTGATCACTTTAGATAGTAAAGTTGGTAAGTACCTTTTCTGAAACTTTCCTAACAATTCCTGTGTCCTACAAGGATGTAATGTCAAAAATGGTATTTGTAATACTGGATGATCCATTTGAGTAAGAATTGAATGGAAACTACTGTCCGTTACACCATTTTGTAACAATATTTTCCATGCACTGTCCAGTGTAAGAATAGTACCATCTACAAATGATAGAATATTAAAAAATAGTGTATAAGAAAATAAAAAATACTGATAAATCGAATTTGACATAAACCCATGATCCTAGCTCAGCATCTCTATAAAGTTAGCCTAATTTATTACTTTCTTAACAAAAATCTCTTACACAATAAGCTAATTAACACATTATGCATGTATATATTTTTTAATATAGAATTTTGTGTTATAAATGGATCGAATATTAAATATTAAATATGAACAATACAACACTCAGATTTTTGTATATCAAAAATTAAATGTAATTTAAATAAAATATTAAAGAATGTGTAGTATATAAGTAACTGTTTTTGAAATTACACAGAAGATGAGGCATAACATCGTCTCGAAACTTCTGTAATTATTACATAAAGTGTGTGTTAAAAATCTGAGTGTTATTGTTCATATTTAACATTTAATATTTTTTAATGCAATCTTAGTACAATTACCAGGTTTGGAAGCATTAAAGGATAAAACAGGAACCATATAGCTGATGTTATATGTGACATGATATTCAAAATTATATACAATAACACTATTAAATGTTGCTTCAGACTTATCGTTAAAATCATTTGAATCGCATTCTTCCAAATGTGAGTTTTCATTTTCACAAACATGTTTTTCTTGTTTCATCAAGTATTGTGAATAATTTTCATCCTTGTAAGAAACAAGTATTGTTACAATGTCACATCAAAAAATATTGTCATATTTTAATTACTTTTCCTACTAACTGCCAATTATCACCTAGCTCATTAGACTTTACTAATATATCTTTAGCAAAAAGTAAAAATTCCTCCCAAGTCATAATATCCTAGCAAAATAATATCAGATAAAATTTAATAAAATATCAAATTCAAATTATAATAAATTACTATCAAATGTTGTAAACTGACATATGTGTTTACTAAAACCACACTACTGTTTAAGGTTATGTTAAAACAAAATATTGATCACAACATAATATTCGATTCAAATTTCTTATATTTTTTTGTTTTCTTAAACCAATTAAATGAAAACTTAAAATAAAAAATATATTCAAAATAATATTGCACAGTTATTTGTAAATATCACTAGATTAATCAACTACCACTAAATATTAACAAATTTTATTTCACTTTTAACAGGAATTATCTGCCATAGTTTTGGAGCTGTCAAACTAAGGTCAGGGTCGCACTTTAAACAAATTTAAAAATATTATAAATAAATATAAAATTACTTAAAAAAATCCTAAAAACACCTTACTAAAATAATTGCACTTGCTCGGATATTATTACTAATATATTTCTATTTCAAGAATTTAATCATAGTGTGATTAAATAATAACAGTAAAATATTTATTTTGGTATTGTTCAATTAAAAAAATTAAATTAAAATTAATCAGCATAATTTCCAACTAATATTCTTCGATATTTTTGAATGTTTAACTTCCCGAAGGGTAAGTTATTGTAATCGTCCAAAAATTCGCTGAGGGGTTGTTTTTACAATAACATAACGAAAAAGTCACAAACAAACGTTTTGACAGTACGGCCCTGAACGAGACTAACACATGGTTCCTTAATATTAAAATTTCTTGAAAAATGACAAGATCCCATCGCTTTTCAAATTTCCCATAAAATTTGAACACATGCTAAAAACTGCTTTAAGAAAAAATGTGACATTTCTGTCTCAAACTCCGAACAGTAAATACATAGTTTCGACAACTTGTTAAGTTATCATGTTTATTACTGTGTTTTACCATTTGTGATGTTAAAAAATATATATTTTATCAATACCATGGATTAATAATGGTTTCATATGTTATATTAAGATACAAAATTGTAAGTGTTTTATTATTGTTATTATTATACCACTGAATGAAGGCTAAGATGCTAGCCGAAACGACTGGTTTTAAATAAACTTTTAAAAAACTCTCATACTATTTTTACTGATGTAACGCCCGACTTTTTAACTCAAATTAAACATATATATTAACATCAAATTCAAGACTATTCAAATATATATATATATATATATATATATATATATATATATATATATATATAGGTGTGCTGTTGTACCTCCAAAACTGAAGCTGAAATCCTCGCAAAGGAACAAGCTGGGTGTCGAGATCTACAACAGGCTCCCCAATGAGTGGAAGAGTCAAAGCAGGAATGGTTTCAATGCTGCCGTTAAAAAACATCTTATAGATCAACTTATCTATTCAATTAATGAATTTTTTAACCCAAGATAAATATTAATTGTCATTAGGTTAATCTTAGAGTTCATAAACATAACTGATATTAGTTTAGTTATATTATAGTATAATTGTATTGACTTAAATTGTAAATGTTGAATTTGAATAAAGTATCTATCTATCTATCTATCTATATATATATTTTATAAATAACCAATCAGGCGTGCAGGCGTGATAGCCTGATAACGCTGTGTATGAATGAATGCATTCAAATGAATACATGGATCTGTCAATCTGAGAATTCATATCCTGTTTAATTCATATTGTCCAAAAGCTATGCACTTGAGAGCGATTCTTGAAGAAATCTTTACAAACAAATATTAAACATCACAACACAAAAATATTTTATTTTTGGCTTACTAGCGCTAAATGTGCGCCTGGTTCCCGACCCCTAACCTGCACAGTGTGAACACGGGCTTTGTTCTGAGACAATAGGCCCTGGAAGATCATGTTATTCATCGTGATATACACTACAATACAAAATTATATTTTATTTTGATTTAAATAAAACAGAGCATATAAAAGAAAGTCAATTTATTAAATTTTGACATAACAGTTAAGTTATTAAGTAAAAGCTCACAAAATTGCAATAAATTAACATAAATCGAATTAAATCATGTAATGATAATATCTGTTATAGTTTTATATAAAATATAACTTTACAATAAATTATAACTTTCATTATATATAATAAGTGTTGCTTATATAAATATCTATATATTATGAATAATGCGGGTGTGTATATTAACATAAGTAGGCACTAAATATTTTATATTATTAACAAATCTGTACAAGTCACCATTAGAAGGCACATTATATAAGCTTGACTAAATTTATTATTAGAAAACTATAAAATAGCTTGTAAAATAGTATGTATATATATAATTTGTGACTGTACATGCTTATTTATGAAACAATATATATTTTGTAATTATATTCTTTACTCGAGTTTATAAGTATGACTGTGCGTTCGACTCTCTGCAGAAGTTTTTATAGTTTTCTTCTCAGTGATCTGTCTGGACAATGAGTTCATTTGGGTTTGTACTAAATTTTGAGAATTTGCTCCGGAGTGCATAATAACAGGACTTGAATCAGTGTTATATCTGTGTGTTTCATACCTGAAATTTATTAAATAAATTTAAAAGTTTGGTCAGAGCAAGAAATAAGAGTTGATATTTTATCATAATAATAATAATTGATATTAATAAAATTGAGATAAATCATATAAATATTAATATAATACACTAGAAAGAGAAATAATATCCAAATGCTTTATAAAAAAATCATTTGGCAAAAAATCACAAATTATGAATCATTATATTAACAAATAAGTATTTTTAATTATTTTCATTATATGTTAGTTTGTTTTTTACTCACAAAGTTGTAAATCCCTTATAATTTTGACCGTTGCTCCCTGTATTATGTGCTGAGCCATTTTTAACTGCATCATAGCTACTGTCCGATGTAGATAAATTTTTATTAATAAAGCTCACAGGACTTACATTGTTGTATGTATTGAAAGTTCTACTATTTGTGTGGGTTTGAGATTTATCCAAATACGAGGAGTTCAATCCTTTATTACTTTGGTTATTATTATTTAAATGCACAATATGGCTACTTTGATTCATGGTATCATTTTGGTCACTGTAATATTCTTGATCGCCTTCATCTGTTTTACGCAGACGATACTTGGCTTGGTGAATGGCTGCTAACCTATTTCTAGCCTCTTCCAATTGCTTTTCAATTCGGAATACTTCAGATCTAGAATAAATTTTTACAAATGATTATATTGTTTTCAAGTAAAGTAATTCAATCTACAAATAAAAATGTTTGATAGTAGAGTAACCCTAAAATTTCAGGATTATTAATCAATTTGACTTGACCTATTTAACTGACTCTCAACAATAGCCCTGCATACTAACTATATTTAAAGGTATAAATGGAACAATTTCAAGACTAAATTATATCACCCATTTTTTTTTTTTTTTAATCACCTGGCATTTATTTCCTGTGTAATGCCACCAACCATTCTTGTGTTAAGAACAAGTGAATGCTCATCTTCTCCAGAAATAGCTTGTTGAGCTGATTTCACAAGATTATCCGTGCTTCTAATGACTGCATTTCCAGCTGCTTGTAGTCTTGTAAAACTGGGTGAATCAGGATCGGCTTTGACCTAAAATAAAATATATTTTCATTAATATTATCTATCAAATAATTATAATATATTGACATTTCATAAAATTTTAAGATTGTAAATTTAAACTATCTGTTACTAACTAAAAGCTGTACCTGACTAGCAACTAAAAGTTGGGCAGTGGAACTAGCAACTTGTTTTGCAGATGAAATAAGCATTTCTTCAGAACCATGTCCTTGCACAAGAGCTTGTGCTGAATCTACTAATTTTTGTGTTGCTGCCACCACAAGTCTCGCAGCAGAAACCAAACCTTCTGACCATTGGCCATCGTCTGAAGTTTTATGTAGACGCCTGGCAACTTTGCCCTAAGTGATAAAAAAACATTAAAATACTATTATAACTGATACAGTAGAATTATTAATAATATAGTTACTATATTGACAAATGTGCAAATCAAAAAGACAATTTATGTGAAAAATTGAAAGAAAAATGTTCCGTTAGTGTTTCTATTTAGAAGTGAAGTTAAAAGTTTTCATGTCTATTTAAAAAAAAGTAGATATTTCATAAATTAATGCAACAAGAAAAAAGTACATTATAATTATAAAAGAAATTTGATAAAATAAATGAAATTCTACTTTAGAAATGCTTGGCAGGCCGCATAAAGCGGTTGCTCATCTGTTGAAAAAGTTTATTGTATAACAATATTAAATCAACTAATCAAATTTAAGATTTATATATTACCTGATCAATAAGTTCTCGTTGTGAATCACTTGCGGCTTTAACCAAAGCTGAAGTAGCTGCAGTAATGGATTTTGCTGCTTCCAAAATCATTTCATCAAAGTTCAAATTTTCATCGGTTTCCTAAAAATTATATCACAAAATAAATATCAACGAAGGAAATAACAATTGTACATTAATATGAGTAATTGATTAAAACTATTCAATTTCATATGATATAACGTACCATGGTGTAGGGTACCTCAGCAGTAATAATATGTTTGATTCCTGGGTGAAATTACAAAAATACAACCAAGAATATCAAACATATCTTAACGCCAAAGACATGAGATAACATGTATGACAAGTAAAATTTATATATTAAATAATATCTAAAAATATATCCATATTAATTACCTTTACAGATCTTCTTGGTCGCAAACTGGCAAGTTTTCGTGCAGCAGCTTCTATAGATGATGCAGCTGTTAGAAGCTCATTTTCCGCAATAACTGTTGGATCCTCAGGATCTACCCAATCACGCCCTGAAAAAAGATTATATTTGATTACAAGGGATGTAATGCATATGTATGTAGATATAGATACACAAGTAAATACAATATTAATAAATAAAAAATCAATAGAAGTACCTTTAAGGGTTTCGGCCAGAGAAACCAGTTCAGAAACACTTTGAGCTACTTGTCTTGATAAATGTGGCAAATTTTCTTTTCCTTCAGCTCCTGCCAAAACTGCTTGAAGCAGTCTTTGATAGTGGGTTGCAACCTTATTACCAGCTTCCAAAGTTTGTTCGCGCAATTCGATTGTTTCCGTGCAGGAGTATGCAGTATTCTAAATTAAAAAAAAACGATACATATAAATATATCACACTTTGTATATATATATATATATATATATATATATATATATATATGTGTGTGTATATATTACTTGAAATAATGGTTAGGAGCTTTTTAATTTTATAATTATATTTAATTATTTTTTTATTTAACTAACTTTTGTTTTTAATTAAATTTTAAATTTAATTATATTCTCTAGCAATTAAATTAAGTAACAATTATATATGGTCAATATACCTTGCACACAACAAGTAAATCAGAAATTGCTCTACGCCCTTGATTAGCAGCAATTATAATATCTTCTTGAGATCCAGAGTTTCCAGCAGCAATTGCTTTAGATGTAGCTTGGGTAACTAATTTAGTAGCTCTAACTAGTTCCTCTGGTGTACCTTTACCTTTTGCACCATCTATTTGTAAACTCTGCAAAATAAAATTAAAAAAAATAAATTTGGCAAATATGTGCCTAATGTAATACATTTTATATCTTATTATAAGGTTACTTACATTAATTTCTTGACTGATAGCTTCAATTGTAGATTCCAAAGCACGTGTGCCTCTTGTGTGTTTATCCTCAACAGCTTTAACGGTTTTTAACAATGATGTTACATTTGTTACCATTACCTATAAAATAATAATCTTTATTAATACACAATTCAAAACATTTTAATATAAAATATACATTCTCTATATAGAGTTTACAACAGTTACAAAAATAAATTACCCTAGCACTGCCTTTCAATTGTCCCATTGAAGGGTCATCAATAGGTTTTCCAGATGCTGCTTTGGTGGCCTGAATAAGTTCACCGAGAGCAGAAGCAACATCTTTAACAGCATTCATTAGCATCACTTGTGAATCAGGATTATTTGAACCCAAACTTTCTGCTCCTAATTTCACAACTCCAGTCAATTGGACTAAAAATAAATAATTATCATTATAAACAAATTTCACTCTCAATAAATAATAAAATTAAGATAATGCTATATTACATGTTAGAATTAAATAACACTAAAATTTTCAAATTCTTGTTTTAGATAAAAACTTCCTCAAAAAGGTCTTACGTCTTCGAAAAGATTTAATGAAAGAATATTTCTGATGATTCACATAGGTAAAAGTATGTGTATGGGTTCCTTGATCCTTACCAATTGTTGAAACAGCATTTTGGGCTGCTGCTGCCAATTGATCTTGAGAACCTGCAGCACCGGCAACAAGTGTTTTTGTGTCTTCTACTAAAGCTTTGGCTGTTTTCAGAATATGCTCCCTGTGCTCAGAGAAAGATGCATTATCCCTCTCAGAGTGCAAAGTGCCTGATGAATAAAATATTTATTTATTATAATCTGTACATTATAAACATTTAACTAACTTCAATATTTCTATACAAAATAAAATAAAAATTGACCTGCTGTTGCAAACATAATTGTAGTGTCAATATCTCCAATGATACCAGAAACAGTACTAGCAGCATTTATGCAAGCCTGTGTTCCCTTTGAACATGATTGTAATGCTGCTAAAACTTTAGCTACTTTATCGTTAACAGATCTGCTGTGCATTGAAATTGTAGAAGAAGCACTATCGCCTTGTTGCATTTGGTATGCCCCACTAGATTCAACTAATTGAGAACATGATCGTCCAAGTTCTTGAACTGTGCTTCTGATTCTAAAATTTGAAAAAAATGTAAGTAAAAAAAACCAAGCAAACAGTTTTATTTCAAATACACAATCTCACTAACTTCTAACTATTTTTTTTTTTTTGAGAATTATTTGCAAATTTCGTATTTTTTGTTACAAAATATTTTTTGAAAATTTAAACAATTCTTCATTCTATCAAAACAAGTGAAATGTTTTTCGATTCCTTCAAATCGGATGCTCTGTTCTCTCAAAAATGGAATAGCCATTTTTTGCACTTTTTGTCCCGGATAAAAAAATCAGAACATCTCCAAGTCGATAGGAATTGAATGTTTTTTAAATCACGTGAAATGTAAAGGTACACAAAAATGTTCATTTTCGTTTTTTACCATTGCTATAACTTACTCTATGGCAAGTTAATAAAAATTTCACAAAAGTTGAATAAACCATTTTTTAAATAAAAGTAATGCAATCAAAATACCAATATTCTGATAAAGATGTTCGGTTTATAAGAATAGTATTTACTTACTTCATTCCAACATCTGAAAGATTTGTGTTTAATACTGCTCCAAATGAATCATCTGCCAACTGCGTGTAGTGGTGGGTAAGATTTGCAGATAAAGTAGGCAAAGCAGCAGGCTCACCAACAGCTTTTGAACTCTACAAATGTATATAAAACAATCATATATTTTAAATTAAAAATACAAATTATGATTCATGACAATTATAAATTACCATCTCATTAGCAATTCTGGCAATTTCTTTAGCTTCATGTACCATTCTTGTTTGATAATCAACAAAAGTGTCTGATGAAGAAGTAACAAGCAAAGATGATCTTCTATCACTTACTCGAGACATGGCTCGGTTAATACTTTCTAGCAAGCCATTTACCAAACCTGTAATAAATTAGAATTCAGAGTTGTCAAATGTATTTAGTGGGAGAAATATAATAGTAACAGTATACAAAATGTAAAATGTTTACCATTTTGTGTTGATAAATCATCAAGAGAAGTAATTAATTCAGTAATTGACTCTCTCATTGAATCAATAGCTTCATCCAGTTCTCCATGATATTGTGTAGCCTGTAAAACAATACAGTTTCAGTTATAAAATATTTAATATAATTAAATTTAAAGGAGTACAAAATTATTATTCGTATGAATTTCATAATTATAATTTTAAGATTATTCTATTAAGATAAATTATAATATTTTATAAACAATAGTTAAATTATTTTACAATGTTTGCTACAAAACGTTACTACTAATTTTGTAATTTATATAATAATTACCCTGGGATTTCCTCCAGTCAGTTTAGCAAGATTAGCTACTTGAATAGCATTTTCGGTAACACTTTTAGTATATTCCAAAAGCTGTAATCTTTGAGACGAATGCACAAAATGAGTTGCAGCCCCAACAGCATACTTGACAAGAGCTTCGACATAACGAGACATTTGTAATATCGTATGTCCCAAATTTTCAGCTTCACTTTTAGCAGCTGTTTGTAGTGGAGGCAATCTGTCTGTTAGCTCATTTGATGTACTGCTCATCTGGCTGAGGAAACCTAAATATAAAATAACAATGTAAAATTTGAAGAACTTAAATGGAGAATATTTATATATATTTATATTATACCATACCTTGCAAGGTGTTTTCTTGGCTCGGAGTTACTGTTGATACAACATTAATACTGGTTTGATCTAAATGACGCACACAGTCATTCAATTGCTGGATGACTGTGTCGCACTGTGTTTGACCAGGAGCCTTCTCTCTGGAAATATAAATTGATAATTGTATATATATTTATCATCTTCAAGTCTCAAATTTATAATGATAATATCTTGATTATTTTTTTGATGTTGAAACATGTTTGGAATAATTTGCAGACCATTTGTCAATTTGAAATGTGATTGAAAGAAAAACATTCTTTATTTAACTAACTAATATTAATCAGAGAACTTTCTGACAAAAATACCTTTCATAAAAAAAAGAAAAATTGCTTAAGCAAATAATTCCTTTATATTTATTAAGGGAAGAAACATTTGAATTGACAAAATAATTGTTGAAAGGTGAAAAAAAAAATTATTAATATTATTTTGTAAACACTTCATTATTAATGATGTTGTTAAAATGTAAAGGGTAACTATTGTTATTAAGAACAGAACAAATAAAGTTAAGATTTTACTCCAAAACATCTTATTTTTAATAAAATAGCCCTACCTATTAGAGAAATAATACCCCAAATTTTAATGGACCAAGAGAAAAAAAAAAAATTAAATATCACCCTGACTAAATTGTTGTTCCTATTAACCTTTTTTTAATTGGACAAATAAGCACAAAATTATTTAAAAAATGATAATAATAGTAATTTACAGAAGCATTACTAACCTTATATTAGTGATAAGACTTTTGATTGAATCACTAACATCTTGTGCTGTTACTTGCTAATTGTTGCCATGCAGGTGGGTCTCTGGATTAAAGGGACAAAGATTTGTTGCAGCTACTATCATATTCACAGAAGCATTCAGTACTATGACCACTAGTTAGAATGGGCTCTTGAGCTTTGCGACCCTGAAAGCAAATTGAAATTAATAGATTGAATTTATTTCTAAATTGCATTCTAATTTTTCTTTTTATATTCACCTGGGCTGATATTCTTGTTGGTATAGATACGAATTGTGGATTATTTGAGAATTCACAAAGCGATGAAACAGCATCTAATAAAGGTTTCGTTGCCTGAACACACGAATTCTCTACTTTCAGCAGAATAATCTGCATCTAGTGCTTTAATTCCCTGTTAAAATATCCATGATCAGCAAATTAAGATTACATTGTATATGTGTTTTCTTGCATGTATATAATCAACTAAATAAAATTAAATAAGTTAGTAGTAGTAGTAACTGACAAGGAAAAAGATAACTACATAGGTAGGAATCAACAAAGTATAAGCATGCTCATATAGAAAGAATAACTGTAATTTTAGTTTATATAAATTTCAGTCAATTCATAATTCGAGCATAGCTAAAACTGACTATTTGCCAGTTAAATTAAAATAAACAGTTTAGCTGTGTTACGATACATACAAGAAACTATTTGGTACCAACTTTTGTCAAACACAACCCTTTACCAATGCGGCAGTGCTATTCGCGACGTCTTTAGCAGATTGTACAAATTGCCTCTTAGCCACGTGGTTAGGAGTGTTGTTACTGGCAATTCTGCATGCATTGCACAAAGCTGATGTATGTTTTGCAATGAGAGTAGCAGCTTGTAACACTTGTGGTTGGGTTGAAGTAGGGTTAACCAAAACATCGCAGCCAGTTCGAATCGCCTGCGCTGCACGCGCAAATTGGGCTTGGTCAACCAATCCTGGACGACCGACAACGCTGGTTGGATCAGATACGCCTACCTAAAATAATAAAATTAAATTGAAAATAAGATCACAAAGTTTCAACATATACCATTTTACATAAACCTATTTATTATTATTACAATTATTGAAATTGTTACACACTAACATAATATATTCAATTCAAGATTCTATGACCACTAGAAAACACTTACGAGATAAGCAGCTTGTGCAGAAGCTTCAATCAACCATAAATTGAATCATTAACTTCACGTACTGATTGCGCAAACTCTTCATGTTGATTTAATTTAGCATGATTGGCAATTCCAGACATTCCATCACCTAGAATTAAAAATTTAAAATTAAATGATGAAAGAGAAGAAAAACAGCCAAAACATATAATTATCCTAACCTAATTTTTTAGACTTCTCTTTCACAACATCCAAACATTCAAAACTAACTTAAATCTGATAGTGGCTCGTTTGGTCTGTCCAACAACGGGCGCAGGGATTCTATCTTCCGAATTGCATTATCACATTCTTTCTGTGCTGGGGAAGCTGATGTGCATACATCAACCTATAAATCAAATAAGAATATATATAATAAATAATAACAAAAATACATAGGCAAATACTAACGATTTGTTTCAA